CGCGCAAGCTGCGCCGCGCCATCCTTCGCGCCCCGAAGAGCGAGCGCGCAAGGAAGCGGGCGGAGAAGCTGTTGTTGGAGGACACGATGTTCCGGGCGCTGGTGGGGACGACGCAGGCGGTGGATATTGTTAGTGGGGGTGTGAAGAGCAATGCGTTACCGGAGCAGGCGCTGGTGCGTCGTCACTCGTCTTCCTTTCTGTCTTTTCCTTTCCTGAGCACTGATCGGGTATATACGTGACACAGGCCGTGGTCAACTACCGCATCGCGACCCAAAGCTCCGTCAACGCCACCATCACGCGCGACGCGCAGCTCGTGCGCGACCTCGCAGCGCGCTTCAACCTCAGCGTCACCGCATACGGCGAGCAGCTCACCTCGCCGGCGGACGCGGCGGCGGCGTACGGGACTCTCGAGCTCAGCGCGCCGCGGCCGCTGGAGCCCGCGCCGGTCACGCCGAGCAGCGGGAGCGCGTATGCGCTGCTGGCGGGGACGATTCGGGCGACGTTCCGGGCTGCGCGGAGTGGGAAGGGCGCCCACATCAAAGGCAAGGATGGGGAAAAGGAGATATACGTCGCGCCGGGGATGACGACCGGGAACACTGGTGCGTCCGTCTGCCTCCGCGATATAGTAGGCCAAGGGGTGAGTGTGAATGTTAACAGACACGCGCTTCAACTGGGAGCTGTCGAAGCACATCTTCCGCTACGGGCACGGGAACCTGATTGGCGGGGGGCTGGGTAATATACATACTGTTGATGAGCGTGAGTGGCTTGTGGCTTGTCTCCTCCTCCTCTCCCTCTCCCTTTCCCTCGACTCGATATTACCCTCTTCGATCTTCTTGTCGAGCTGCGCTGACTCTGGCTGGTACGACTTGTAGATATCAAGGCGGACGCGTTCGTAGAGATGATCACGTTCTTTACGACGCTCATTTTGAATGCGGACGAGGCGACGGCGCTGTAGGGAACGTGCGAGAAGAGGCAGGGTGTTGTGGATGAGTGGTCAAGTTACTTAGCGGTATTTACCGGCACGGTGTCGTCGAGCTGAATGTATGTTGTGGACACCCGAAGACCCCCAGTAATTCCGCTCGGTCTTTTGCGATCCTTCGTAAGTCCTGCTTTGAGGCATCGAACAGCTCCTTCAATCCCGCGACCTCGACTCTGTGGTCGGTACCGAGTGTTATGTGGAGCGCACACCTTTGTCAGATCGCTGTGGCCGCCGCTAAGGAAGAGCACGGGTCGCGGGTCCGAGGGGGGGTATGGGGGGTACGGGTCTAAAATACGGGTAGGGTGTGTGATTTTCCGGACCCGCGCTATACCGTGGACCCGTCCCGCGGGTACGAGGGTGCCGGACGGGTCCGGGCAAGTCACGATAGAGGCGAGGAAATCACTCATACCTTCTCCATTTATTTTCAGGTAACACCCACAACCTTTGAACTCTTCTTTCAAGTTCATATTTCAGCTCAAATAGCGCTAGGAATCGCCGCACATCAGCTTCGGAACTTGCCGCCCGTTGCCGATACTCACCCGCACTAGTCGAAAACAAATTTTCAAAGGCTGTCTCTCCTCTGTAAGGCATTTGCGACTCAATATGCACGATTCACTCACATCTCGACCAATAAAAGGCTCATTAATCGTCCCGAGCTGGTATTTTTCGAGAATTTGTGGACCCGGGGGTCCGAGCGGTGTTTGATGCCACAGAGGGGTACGGGGGGTACGGTATAGACCCGTACCCCTGCAGGGATGGGGTATTGAGGGGTACGGGTCCGGGTCCGCTCGAGGTAGACCCGCGGGTGACCCGTGCACATCCTTAGGCCCGCCGCAGCACATCAATTTGACTCGGAGAGGGTCATTGAGGTCGTGGCGACACGTATCCGATTTTTTGGGGGTTCGAAATCGCCACGTTCAAACAGCGTAGCTATCTATATAAGAGAACCTTGGAAGACGCGCCATGAATTGACTCGTAAGGAAGATACAACACCACATGACCGCGATTGGCCAGGATTGGGTGATCGTGTTTGTCACTGCGTTCTTGCTTTCTCCCAAAACCTTCCCTGTGAGCGAGTTCACGATGGCTGGCGTGCGCGGCTCCCCACCAGATCTCCCGGCCGAACTGTGGATGTACACTCACCGCCTGGCCTTGTCGGATATTTCGCCGCTGGCTAAACTGCACGCCCAGGACGAAATTATCAGGTACAACGGGCCAGAGCATCCCATGAGCGACAAAAACTTGAAGCCTTTCTTCAAGGTAGATGTGCAGCAACTTGGCCGATTGACTCTCTTCTAATTGTCGATTTAGGCCGCGCGTTCCCTCCAGCGTGTTTGTCGGCTATGGGCCAAGCTCGCGCAAGACTTGTTGTACGACAACATCAGGGTAAATGAGACGAGACGCTGGCCCTCGCTATCAAGTGCCCTCTTGCAGCCAGAAATCGCGATCCTGGTGCGCAACGTGCGCCTTTCTCCGACGCGCTTCGACCACAATGAGTTCATGCTGCGACACTGCGGCCCTCACATCAACGTCCTCGTCCAGCCAGAGTTTCCGCGGTCCGAGCGCCTCTACACCGCTGCCCTGAAAACCCCACTCCCGCCTCTACTATCCCTCACGCGCGTGTACTGGATCGAGTCCGCCTGGTCAGCGCCCCTGCTGCGCGCCGTCCTCGCCGCTGCGCCCAATATACAGCACCTCTCGCTCTCCAGCTCACCCAGCATCGGCACCGGCCTCTCCGCTGCTACTCTGCCCGTTTTTCCGCCCTTACCCCGTCTGCAATCCCTCGTCCTCCTCCCGCTCACACCCTCCTGCGTGCACGCCATCCTGCACGCCACCAACCTCGCCCAGCTCACGCACCTCACCATCGCGCCCGCGCACCTCGAATGGCCCGCCCTCCCCGTCCTCCCCGCGCTGCGCACCCTCACTCTCTTCGACAACCGCACCCCCGCCCCCGCCACCTTCCCCCGCCCCCGCCACCTTCCCCCCCGCCCGCCCCCGCGCGTCCCCTTCCCCGCCATCCTCGCGCTCCTCCCCGCCCTCGCCGCGCTGCACTACTCCCCCGCGCGCCTCTCCGCCACCGACACGCCGCCGCCGCCCGACGCGCGCGCGCGCGCGCGCTCGCGTGCGTGCACCTGTACCTCGGCGCGGAGCGGCTCGCCGGGGAGGCGCTACGGCGCGTCAGGGCGCACGCGGCGGCGCTGTGCGGGGCGGCGTTTGGGGCGCTGGAGCGCGTGGTGCTGGACGGGCCCGGGTGGGTCGCGGGCGCGGGGCCGTGCGCGGGGTGGGAGGAATGGGGGGAGTGGCGGGAGTTGGATGGGAGGGGGTGTGTGGTGGTGATTGGGGAGAGATGGGGGGGGAGAGGGGTACTCGATGCGTGACGCTGACGGGACGTCGAAACGAGGGAGAGCCTTGCGCGGGACATGGCTAGCCGCGGCTACTGGCTTCGGCCTCGGCTCGCGCCGGAGGGCAAACGCGCAGAGCGGGTATCACGAGACCTAATAGCAACCCAATGCAAGGGCGCGATCACAACGTGCTTGTTTCTGCAGCGCTCAGATATCGATATCTGTGTCGGGAAGCTTCTGTTTCTCCATCTAGAATCTAGATCTCTAACCTGGACCTTGGACGTCCCTTTCCAATGTCATCGCCTACTTATCACTCATATTGTTGACTGCGAATGTTCGTTTTGATCCCAAAATACAAGAATGAAGAACGAAGAATGAAGAAAGAAAGGATAGACATGGAGAAGCAACAGAAACCGCAAATTCCTTTTAGACGCAAGTGAACAAACGGGAAAGAAAAAAATAGGACAGAAATTTAGAAGATGGAGGCGGCCGCATTCAGACGCGGGGAATCGAACCCCGGACGCTCGCTGATCTTGGTCTCGTATAATGCGTCAATGAAGGCGAGTGTGTACCTTACACTACATCTGATTAGCGGACCCATATCTATGCAGCATAACCTGAGCGCAAGAAGAATTTACAACTTGCGAGAACAACTGAATTATTCAGGCGCCGATGTGCCGGATACAAGAAGACCCACGTCTGATATCGATTGAATTACTTACGAAGTGTCCACCGCAACATTTGTATGCGGGAAGACAAGAAGAAAAAACACGTCGGGATTGCCTGGTCATTCAGACGCGGGGAATCGAACCCCGGGAACTCGCCGAATCTCGTGGCAATGATCGAGTACATAATGAAGGCGAGGGTGTACCTTACACCACGTCTGATTAGAAGACCTATATTCATGCACCAGCCTGAGGGGAGCGCAAGAAGAAATAACTCGCGAGAACGAGTGGATTATTCAGGCGCCGGGAGTTGCAACGGTCGCTGGACACGGGAATAATGAAAGCGAGGGTGTCGTCTGATTGGACGCTGTGGATCTACGGAGGTTTGCACCACAAAGCGGGAGGGCAAGAAGAAAAAGCATGTTGGACTTAAACATTCAGACGCGGGGAATCGAACCCCGGGAACTCGCCGAAGTTCGGGAACATATCAATGAAGGCGAGGGTGTACCTTACACCACGTCTGATTGGGGTGCATATTTCAACACCCGACATGGGCTTTGCGGTTAGACTAACTTAGAGTCCCCACCGAATACTATGGTGTCGTGTAGTTACGCATGTGAGCAGGCTCGATTTCTTGAGGGTCAGGCCTCCAGCCACTGTTCATCGAGCTTGAACCAGCTGTAAGTGAGAAATGGTTGAACCAGAAATATGCCCTCGATGTCATGGACAGGCTTATCTTTATCCATCTCTCACCTGCCTTAGACCTTTGTTTTCAGCGCCATCGCGTACCCATGTTGTTGTCAAGTTGTTGAGTTCGAAGGTTCGTTTCATCTCGGAAATCGACAATCTGCCAACGAATGAATGGGAAGCTTAGGCAGTATGGGCAAAATCCGTCGACACGCAAATTCTGTTGAGACGCGACAGACGAATAAAAGCGAAAGAAATAGAACGGGACAGAAAGAGCAAAAACGAGACAGACATTTTTCAAAAAACTTTTCGCAGGCAAAGTGGATACTCAGACACGGGGAATCGAACCCCGGACGTTCGCTGCATTTTTAAGTGCTGTGTCTGCACTAAAAGCGAGGGTTTGCCGTACACCACGTCTGATAGAGGACCTATATCTGCGCAGCATGGCCTCGCGCCGGGGGAGCGCAGGAAGAAATCGCTTGCGAGAATAACTGGATTCAGGCGACGCTCGCTGGACACGAGAAGAATGAAAAAGAGGGCGAGGGTGTACCCCACTCACATCTGATTGGACTCCGTAGATCTGCGAAGGTTTTCACCACAACATTTGTACTCGAGAAGAAAAAGCATGTCAAGATCCCGTGGATCAAGTTCAGACGTGATGAATCGAAGCCCGGACGCTCGCCGCATCTCCATTAATGGGTGTACCTCACACCATGTCTGACTGGACTATATATTTCAACACCCGACTCGAGATATGGGCTTTGTTGGAGTCCCCACCGAATACTATTGGCGCCGTATACACTGGCGCATGCCGTGCCCAACAAGGCTCTTGAGGATCAGGCCTCCAGGTACTGTACATCAAACTTGAACCAGAGGTGAGAAATGGTTGAATCAGGAATATGCCCTCAATGGATAGGGAGAACCAGAACTGGGATTTTATTGTCGCCGAGTTACATCCAATACAAATCTGGTACGCGTACGGTCCTCCCAGGGAGGACCCAGTCTCCAAAAACAATCCGGTGGCCTGTGTTTTCTCTGAACCCATCACTGTAAAAGTCACCCAGTCTGCCCGAGCGGTATTGATGGCTCTCGGGTTCAAACTCGAGTGCACGCGTTTTTGCTTCTATTTTCGTGTTTTCTCTCTCTTTACTGTCCAAGCCCCACGCTGTGGGCCCCGCGGCGAGGGTAATCCGCGCAGCCCAGCGGCGAGCGCTCGGGGGTCCGCGGGTGTCTCCCCCGCACTGGATAATCCTCACTCCAAATAAGCATTAAATATATTCAAATACACACAAAAATATATATATTTCAAAGCTCCATGCAGTGGGCCCCCGCGGCGAGCGGTTGCACCACGCAGTGGGCCGCGCGGCAAGCGCCAGGGGGGTCGGAGGGGGTCTCCCCCGCACCAGATTCTAAAATATACTGCGAATGAGCTCAAAAACACGGAAAATTAGGAAAATTAAATTATTCCTTCACTTGGATATGTCATCAGGCAAAAGGAGGGGGGTCTGGGGGGAACACTGTTTCCCCAGCAATAAATATGTCTCAAAACACCCTCCCACAACTGACTCTGACAGACGTGTCGCATAAACATGTGTTGGGAAAGGAGCACGTGACTGTCAGAGTGGAGGAGGCGAAGGGGCTTTGCTTGAATGCGCACCGCTAAGTGGCATAGTGATATATCACAGGCTCTCTGGGTAGATTAGTGCTGATATATCTATTGCTCAGGATGGTAGATCAGTCTGATATATAATTTGAGAGATTCTCACCTTTAGGGTACTTGCTATCAGTGTCCCGGTGAGGGCTGCCCTCGCTGTCGTCAACGTTGTCCAGAGTGTGGCCTCTTGTTTGCCAAAACCCTGAGCGGCGGGCTTACTAATATCCTAATCCGGTAATTCAGCCACTCGTAACATCCCCAGCGACGCTTGCAACACTGGGCCCATTTCCATCTCAATCCCTCTACAATTTCGGCCAGTACATACGAGTACCTACTCCTGTTACCTAGATATGTCCCCTGATCATAATCCATACCCCCACTGTCCATTCCAAGTGTTACTTGTGTGCCAGTTCCTGCTCCAATTCCGTCGCAATTTCCACCACCACAGACGTTGCCAAGTTCGGCTGCTGCTCCTGCACCCCGTCAGTGGTCTCGACGTCGTCCGGCGTCATGGTCGCGTATTCCTCGCGCGACATTCTGAGCTCCTGCGGGATGTATCTCCACAACTGCTTGAAGTGTTCCCGTAGCCCGTGCATGTAACCGGCCTGCTTCTTTGTGTAGGCTGCCTGCCCGTCTTGGAAAGCCCCATCCACCTGAATCCTCAGCTCTGCCCATGCCTTCCACCAATCTCTCCGCCATCTCAGAAACTGCAGCACGCGCCACATTTCCTCTTCGACGAGGTCGATCTCCTCTGCGTACCACATGGCCTTTGCCCGCATCCTACTCGATCCGTAGTGCTTGACAAGAGTCAGCAAGGCATCCTTAATGGAGGGTGCGGGACGACTTATGCTCGCTCTTCACCACGTCCTCTGGCTTCCCCGTCTTTCCCACCAAGTACCAGATCCACAGCATCTCTGCCTGTATCTCAGCGGCTAGTGCATTCTCTGGCCCATCACAGGTGGCTGGGCCCTCTTCTTCTTCTTCCCCCCTCCTCCTCTCTGCTGCTCAGGGTCCCCAAATGTGGTGCATGGGCGGCCCCGCACGTCTTCAGCAAGCAGCGGCCTCAAATATTGCTGCCACTCCGTCTGTTTCAAGATGGCCCCGAGCTTCACTAAGGCGGCACGCACTGTGCGGTACTCCGCCGCCAAGGAGTCGATACACAGTTGAATCACATCCGTCCTGGATCCCGACCGTAGCTTCACCTTTGTCCCGTGCACGCCATCCCAGTAAATGTACTTGTGCGCTCGCAATTGAGATCGTCGCGCATCACCTTCAGCACCCACACCGCCTGCCCCTGCTGCAGCTGGAACTCGTATTCTTGTAGCCACGCTGGGCACTGGGCGCAGGTCGCAATGGCGGAGGGGAGCCAGAGGCTGATATCCTGCACCTTCAGCCCAGGCACTAGCTGCATAACCCCCATGCACATCTGTTCGGTGTCCTCCCAATCCCGCAGAACTGCAGAACCGCCACCTCTGGTATGAAGAGCTGCTGGATCGCCATCCACGAGTTGATCTTGCGCTGTAGCTTGGTCTCGCGCTCCAAGCACTTGGTCTCTTGATAAACTGTTTCGTGCGCGCCAATCTGCTTCATGTGAGTCGCCAAGTCTCGCCTAGGAACGATTCAGTCAACAGCCGTCCTGAAAACTGTTCGCTGCGTACTCACTTGCTGCTGCTCCAACTGCAAGCCCATCGACAACATCTCCGTCTCATGCATGTCGTCCCGCACCCCCTCATGCCCTACGTCTGCTGCAGCAATCCCTGCCAGTCTCAGTCGGACCTTCGCAATGCCCTTGTGCTGCGCTGTTGACGCAAAGGGGTTGGGATTCTTGCTATCCACCTCCCAAGCGATGGCCATGAGTGTCCATGCCTCGGTCACCGACTGCTCAAATGATGCCTCGACATCCACCCAAGCTGCCAGCGTCTCGAGCATCATCAGCATGCTCTTCTGGATCTTGTCGAGCAAAACGGTACCTGTCGTGACCTTCAGCGTGGTCCTCACAAAATGCGAAGCTGAATGCCTACCCAGCTTGGTAATCTTCTTCCAGTTAGAGTACTGGAAATGGGTGTCCAAAGTGTCGCACCATGCTCCCGGTCCCAAGATGCTAGTGCTATTCGCCAGGTGATTTGCGTCTGCCCATCCGTGCTTGGGTGCCTCGCCATCTGTCCGACCCACGAATGGAGTCAGATTGAAGGAAAGTTGACATTGCACTCTTCGATGTGCGCCGGGAGGTGAAACTTGGGCACCAAAAACATAAACTTCTTTTCTCCGCCCAGCTGTGCTTCCAGCGGAAAGATCCTCATGCGCTCCCAGAGGTTTTTATACCACTGGCACGCTATGTCATACGACACAATGAAGCAGAGGAGCAGCGTGCCCAGCAAAGTCATGAAGTATAGGTAGTCCATGTTAAGATACCTGTGTTGACGTCCATCAGTTCACCGCTCAGATAAAGCTCGCCAGACCACCATGTACTTTTCTCCCTGCTGTAAGTCACCCACACCATTTGGACATTTCATGTTGTGGCACGCGCAATCCACCGTCCCGATCCCCGAAGAAGCCGTCCCATGCGATTCGTGGTCTGGCTTATCCACCGTGTCGTGTGCAACGCAGGTACTTCACTACGGTTCCGGGTCAGCAGGGGTTGGCGTAATGGGAGGCTGGGCGACATACAGGCTGGGTTTGCTGCCAATTATCCTTCAGGTGCTCCATATACGGGCCCACCTCTCCGAAGAACACCCAACCTTTGCTCAGGCCCAGATCCTCCTTGCTCGAGACGTCCTTGCGTTTGAGGTGAAAATTGGTGTCGATGGCCAGAAACAATGCATACAGGAAGCTGCCGAACTCCTGTCAGAACTATGCGGGGTCTCTTTAATGCTTGCTCACGCTTTCTCAAACGGGACCTTATCCCAATTCACGGGTAGGTTTATTCCGGGGTGAGGACATGCGGGGCACAGAAGGGCCAGTTCGCCGGACTTTGTAGTGTTGATGTGATCCTCACATGGGTCGTGGGCACGGCCAGCACACTTCAGCAACATAAGGTGTTGCCACCGTCACGTCATCCTCAAGAATTCCTCGTAGCGGTCCTGTATGCAGGTCAGTATCACCATCTAATCAAGAATAAAGCACTGCTGCTTACGTGGGACAGGTCCAAACCGGTGTTGTTGTCTCACGCGTGGGGCTGTTGTAAAATTTGTACATGGAGCATTTCGATTCCAGCGTCATGTGTGCAAACTGGCGCAGGGCCTGGAAAGTTGTGGCAGAGCGAGGATTGGTACCCGTGGCTGGTTAGAGGCGCAAACACAGAAGTTGGATGGGTTTGGGCTTAGCACTACCGCAACCGCAAAAGTCCAAGGCCACCTCATGAATGGTGTGGCTGTCGACGATCACGAAGGCGTCCCCCCAGGCCTTTTCAGGGTTGGTGCATCGTACCCCAGGAGGGTGCCCTAGTTGTAGACACACACCAAATGACTTCAAGGCACGCCTCTCAAAATGATTGTCCACCCATTCCTGGGGCGCATGTGAGTTACGGTGGAAGACGAGCTGGAATCAACTACCCACCTCGAGGTGATGGAAGGGGGGTCCGGTGGTGAATAGCCTGGATGCAGTCTTCGCAGTACAGACAGCCATCAAGGCAGTCTATGCATCGGTACTTAGGGTTTGGCCTTCCACATCCCACACGGCTGCACAACAGTTGCCTGACATAGTCTCCACGGCCGTCATGGCGCAGCAACTCGTCTAGGAAGTGCTTGCGGTCGTCGCACACCCACTG